CCTGCTCGATCATCGCCTCCCTCGGGGCCTCTACACAGGCATGGCGCTGGTACATGGGTCTGTGCCTACCACGACCGACAAATCTGAGTGGTCGAGCTCTGGCTCGCGGCACGCGCCGTGCACGTCACCTCACCAGGCCCTCAATGCCTTCACTTCATCCGGACCAACCAGCGGCAGGCAGGCGGCAGTAACGACAAACCATGTTTCTTCTTGTGCCTATCCACAGGGACCCCGCGGGAAGAATAGTAGGCGGCACCGCGAGTCTCCTTTTCTTTCGTGCAATTCGCTTGCGCGTTAAAAGGGCGGCTCCTGAGCATCGCGACTCAGGAGCTCTTACTGGCTCTCCAGCCCTCACCCCCTGGCCTTGACCACGGCATCGCGACCTGGCATACCAGTGGCGGCTGAGCTCGCTTGAGGGCCGGGACCTGAGGATGTAGAGCACTAAGAAGAGCCCGGGAGAAGGAAAACTCATACGGACCGGCCTAGCTATGTCGCATAAGTTGGCGCGCAGCCCTAGCGCAGCATCAGGAATCACCGCAGAGTCAGCAAGATAAGTCTCGCCCTCGGATGACTAAATATTTGGGCCTAGTAGTCGCTCATACCATGTCGCAACCCCGTTGCGGCCAAGTCATATTCCTTTCTTTCCTTACCATGGCCGCTTGGGCGCTAAGGGGGACCTCCTGAGCATCGCGTCTCAGGGCTCTTACTGGACCTCGGGCCGCGCACCTCATGGCCTTGACCACGGCATCGTGACCTGGCATACCAGCGACGGTTGTAGCCGCCTTGGGACCGGGACCCGTCAGCGTAGAGCAACAAGCTATCGCGAGGAAAGAAAGGGGGGACCGAGCCTTAACGGGACACGCGTTCATGAAATCTTCATAACAAGGAAGATAAGTACAAAGGCATTGCAGATCCTTACATGCCCCCACGGGGTGATTCATGATTCTTCGCAGGAAACAAAAGCTGATGCTAAGGGGGGTCCTATCTACATCCTTCCGTGGCGGACGCCATCATCAACAGTGGGCCACGGGAGGCCGGCGCCAACCCCATCCAGATCAGCGGTGGCGGCGGCCGGATGGCGTAGCCCTGCTCCGAGCGCGGCAAGAGCTCGGGGACACGTAGCTATTGTCGCTCGTCTCCAGAGTCTCGTAGAGCTCGGGAGAGCTGCTGGACTCCCAAGGGCTGCTGCTGCTAGAGTGGTCGCGAGCGGAGCGCGCATCAGCCTCGCGCTCTTCTCCGGAGCAGCACTCCAGGCAATGGCCCTCGGCGTCAAAGACCTTGAAGAAGAGCGTGGAGGCACCGTCGTACTCAAAGTGGATCGCGAGGGCGCCCCTCGCACGACAGACTCGAGTGATCTCCCCCCAGCCGCGGGTCATGAAGATCTTACCGGTGGGGACCGCTTCGATCTCCGCTCCGGTCGCTGAAGCGCTGCAGTCGGCGTGTTGCAGCCAGAGCTCGAGAGGCCCCCTCGGCGGCATCACGTCAGAGAAGAACCGCGGGAAGCGGATCCAGGAGCTCGGAGGCATCGGCGCCCACAGCACCAACTCGTGCGAGGAGTCCGCAGCGTGGACGGCACGCGTCGTCGTGGCACGGCGACCCCGGATGCAGCATGGGCGGCACTACTCGTCACTTCATCCTCCCAAGCCCTCGGCTTGGGCGTACAGGGGTAGCGGGTACCCCAGTGGAGGCCGCTCGCACCAAGGCCTCGTCACCACTTGCATAGGCGCTTCGTCACGGCGATGGATCGACCTCTTCTTCGGCGGGAGTGGCTCCGGGACATCCCGGGGGGCTTCCCCCTTCTCTTCGACGGAGAACCTTCTGATAGGCGCCATTGGAGCAAGCAGTAGAGCAAGGAGGAGGAAGCAAGCAAGCGAGGAAGAGATGGGTGACGGGGGCTCCGCCCCCCTCTCCATTTATAACGGAAGAAGGCCAACCGGCACCTCCCACAATCTCAGGTAATGATGGTTTTCCTTGCATGTCGCAGGGACTTGTCAAGTCATGCAGTTGACGAGGCAGCGTGGGGAAGCGGAGACGCCCACGTCCAATCAAACGCCACGCGTCGACCGAGGCCGCAGGCTTTTGGGGCCCGCGGTGCTCCGAACTTGACCCTTGGCTTCGCTGCGAAGCCAAGCCCGAGCGCACCTTGGGCCCGGGGGCTACTGTCGGTGTTCTGGGAATGGGGGTCCCCAGACCTGCCTGCCTGTGGCCCACGGCGTGGCTGAGCCAGCAGGTTGTACGGCCCACCTTCACTAACAAGGCACCCAAGACCCTCGTGAGGGGCCAAGCTTCGCGAGGCGGACGACGCAAGACCTCCTCTGGAGTGATCTGGCCAGGCAGGCTCACGAGGAGCGGAGATATCAAGGCGGGGCAAACCTCGCGAGGCTCTCGTGACGTAAGCCATGACGATCGACACCAGGCGGGCGCCAGCGAGCGCAGCGTCCTTCTTTCTCCTTTGGTGCAAAGGAGGCAAGCGCAGCCGCGGAGTACCGAGGCTTCAGGCAAAGGTTGCCATTTTGGTGCAACAAGACCAAGACCAGGCGGAGTTCATCATGGAGCCCAAGACGGCGTCACCCCAGAGCCTTTCACAGGCGCAGACTACCTTTTGTCAGGATAGCTTGTACTAGTTGCCCCCCTTCAGATTAGCCCGCCATTGTTGGCTCCCTTCCCGCTCAATATTTGGGAAGAGGACCAGGGCCTATATAAGTAGAGCTAGCCACCATAGTAGAGAGAGAGGGGATCAGACCCAGAGACACACACAAGTCCGAAAGCACAAGAACACCTCAACCTCAGGAGGCTGTTCTTCCCTTGTACTGTTCGTCATCAACCTGTGAGGCAATCCACCACCACCACACTGGAGTAGGGTATTACACCACAACGGTGGCCCAAACCAGTATAAACCCCGTGTCTTTCCATGTTGCGAGTTCGTCGAGTTCGTCCGCAAGATCTTAGCGAGTTAGAACGTAGATCGGTAGGAGGGAAAGACTTCGCGCACACCCCAGTGTTCGAATCTTAAGGGTTAGCCGGAGCCCCACATCCGACAGTCTCTCTCTACCTTGCCATCCGGCTTCGTCGATAGGCCTGTGAGAGTTGGTGTCCCAGATCTATTTGTTCTCTTCACATCTTGACAGTTGGTGTGTCCTTCAGTGAAAGCAAATTGGCTAGCCATTGTGCAAAGATTTTGATATCTTCTACCGGTGGTGATGGAATGCAAGTTGCTCTGCGTGGGATGATGCTTCAACGAATGCTTCTTCAATGATTAATAGATCTCGTCTCAAGAGGCAAGTGGCTATTGCGGTCTTTAATTCTGGTATGGCCAAGATGTTTGTAGGTGTCCTTTTTCTTCAATGTTGGTTCATTGTAATTTTCAATCTCTGACGAGCAGCATACGATCATATCAAAGAAGAAAGCTAATACATTTTGCAATGTAATTCTATTTTGTACTCCCTGTGTCCCAAAATAAGTGTATCAACCTTAATATAACTTTGTACTAAAATTGGTACAAAGTTAAACACTTAGTTTGGAACGGAGGAAGTAGCAGTCTGTGTACGTCCAATTGTCCTTTTATTATACTGGCCGTTGTTTATCTTGATAAATTTCAGATATAAGATATTTTCTTCTTTTTTTGATAAAACTTCCAATCTACTTATCTTCAATCATGGCAATACAACGAACACCAGAAATAATAAAGATTACATCCAGGTTCATAGACCACTTAGCGATAACTACAAGCACTGAAGCGAGCCGAAGGCGCGCCGCTGTCATTGTCCCTCCCTTGTCGGAGCAGGGCAAAACTTGTTATAGTAGACATTCGAGAAGTCGTCGTACTAAGGCTCCATAGGACCGGCGCAACAGAAGAGCAACCGCCGCCGATAAAGAGTAGCGTAGATCGGAAGGATCCAACCTCCACACGTCCATCGATGATGCTAGACACATCACCGGAACAGGGGCTAGGCGGGGAAGACCTTATTCCATCTTCAGATAGCCATCGTTGTCTCGTCTTTCTAAGCAGGACTTAAACCCTAACAAAATTTTAAAAAACACCTAAAAACGGAGCCCTCCCGCCGGCAAAGGCCGAGATCCACCGCGCCGCCATGGCCCTAAGGCCATCGGAGACGAGGCGGATCGGTGGCGGCGCCGCCGGAAGGCAAAGAAACCCTAAGTTTTTTTTAGGGACGACGCTAACGTGTAGATATAAGACCTTTTCTGATGTCTCTTTAAAAAAACAAGACTCGGCAGCTCGTGGCGCTAAAGCCCGAGTGCACCAGCAAGAAGAAGAAAAAGGATCAGAACGAATCGGTCCAAGGCCGCAATGTTTTGAACCCAAGCTTCGAAAATTGTTCTACAGATCGAGCACGAGCAGCGCGAGCGCCATGGAAGGACGCGGCGATTATGTTGCGGGTGGCAGCCGCACGGAGGAGCAGGTGATCAAGGATTTTCACTTGGATACTAGTCAAATTTTGCTGTGTTTTCTGAGTTCTCTCCCATTGGGTGGGAGGACTAGATTTAGACACAAGTCAGGATTACTGTTGCCTTGCCGTGTACCCTCATAACCGAAGGGAGAGCAAGAAAACAACCACACTGTAGAGGGATCGGCAAGATCTTAATCCCTTCTTCGTAAGCCAAAAGGAACTTCTGAACCGAGCAGAAAAGCAAGAAAACGAGAGGAACTATCTGAAAACGACCAAATCGTCCTTTCCACTGGAGGCGCGATCGGACGGACCAGACGGGACATCACCATTTTTTGGCAGCCTTCGGCGTACCCCCAACATAAAGGAACGCATGGTTCACCTCTCCCTGCTCATCCTCCTCCGTTTCTCCACTCGCCCATGGGCACTGCAACCTTCATGCTCCAGAGCTGAGAGGTGAGCTTTATCGACCCCACCACCACCACTAGACGTTTTTCCTTTAGTTGCTGCAGAGCTATTCGTGCTAATCCACGAGGTAAGCATGTAAGCAATGTTGACACTTACTAGTTTTTCTTATTTTCAAAAGCATTCGATATGTTGCTGAGCAGAGCAGCTAGAAATTTCAGAAATGATGGACACATGCTAGGATTGCAGGTTTTCGGTCGGTGCGATATAACGATCAAATGAAAATACAATTTATATTAAAAAAAACTATGATTGCTTTGCCGGGCTGTTTTCATCTGTGTGACTGTTTGCAGATGAGTATACTGGTGATTACGGTAGACCTGCAATGCTGCCGCTGCAAGAAGAAGATCAAGAATGTCCTCGAGTGTCTCAAAGGTAAAACCAGGGCTCATTCTTGCACTGGGAATGGTATCTTCAAAACAAGGAAATTGTTCCAGATTTGCTATTTGTAGTGCTTTTCGATGAAACTGCACATAATAGTTCTTCTTACGTAAGATTGATCATAAGAGGATTCATGCAATTAACAAGTCGTGTTTGCGTGTAACAGAGGATTACTGCATCGAGAAGATTGAGTACGAGGACAAGGACAACAGGGTGATCGTCCGTGGGAAATTCGACGCGGACAAGCTCTGCAAAAAGATCTGGTGCAAGGCCTGCAAGGCCGTCAAGGAGATCGAGATCGTAAAACAATGGCCGCCACCGCCGCCGCCGCCGCCCCCATGCCCAGACAAGCCAAAGAAACCACCATGCGCATGCACATGCCCGCCTCCGCCTGACCCGCCAAAACCATGCACATGCACATGCCCGCCTCCGCCCGAGCCGCCAAAACCATGTCCATGTCACCCGAAGCCATGCCCGCCGGCTCCTGAGCACAAACCATGCAAACCTGAGCCCAAACCATGCCCGTCTGAGCCCAAACCATGCAAACCTGAGGCCAAACCATGCCCGGCTGAGCACAAACCATGCAAACCTGAGGCCAAACCAACATACAAGTTCGTGCCATACCCGTACCCGGTGCCGTACCCTATGCAGTGCCAGAGCTCGCCGTGGAACTGCCCTCCGCAGCAGTGTCACTGCTGCCCTGCCGAAAAGCCACCGGCCCCGCCGCCACCGCCTCCCCCACCGCCGCCGGACCCCCCCAAGCCGGAGCCCTGTAAGTGCTCGCAGTCGCAACACCCCTCTCACGGTGGCTGTGGCTGCGGCAAGCCGCCTGCTAATTGCTGGCCGCCGCCCACCTGGCCGCCGCAGCAACCCTGCTTCATGCCGCCACCATGGTTCACGGAGGAGAACCCATCGGATGCCTGCTCCATCATGTGATGATTGATCTTGGATTACTACGATGAACAACCCATGGACTGCACTGATGTGGTGCTGCCACGTTATCTGCACCGCCTAATTTTTTTTACCATGCATCGAAAATCCGAATAATGCGAGCCTTAATAAACTAGTCCAGTGTTACTTCTGTACGTCTACGAGTTCAGCTGTTCAATATACGTTCGAGGAGGAAGATGTGTCATGTAATCATTTTTATTTGTGGATGTAATTTAATTGATATGTTGTACATGTAAATCCTGTTTTATTTGTGAACGTGATTTTTCTTTTGAGAATATTTGTGAAGGTGATTTAATTTATCCTTTTTTAGCGAAAGTAATTTATTGATCTGTTGTACTATTGATAGTCCACAATGATGGAGGGTGTTTACCAAGCGGTCAAAAAACTTGCAATGATGGAGGGTGCTTGTACGTCCTATAGCGCGGGTCCATCTTCACCGGCACATATCATTCTGCTTCCCACCAAAACACTATTTCTGAGTCGTGTACCGATTTTCTTTCTTCGCTTTTGGGCATGTGATGTACCATTGCCTTGGACCTTGGTAGAACTCCTTTCATTTTCTTAGCACTTGGATAATTTGTTGTACTGCTATGGTCGATGCTTTATAATAAAGGGAGGTTTTATTTATCGAATAAAGAGAGGTTGTCATAGACTTTTTTTCTTAGTTTCCTTGCACTTGAATAATTTGTTGTTTGGCAGTGGTCGGTCCTTTATATATAAAGTTGAGTGAAAGTCTATTTTCATGAAACACTGTTTCTCACAACATAATGATGATGGATGGTTCAACTCGTGTACAAAATAATGATTTTTTTCGTTTTTGTTTGACTAATTTTTACATTTCTTTTTTAATTTGGAACATTTTTAAAATCCAGTATGTTTAAAAATATTAGTGAACATATTTTGATTCAGCGAAGTTTTTCAAATAAGTTGTTTTTCTCAAGCTAGAATTGAAGCGAGCAGGAAAAAAACTAAGCAAGCGGAGCAGGGAGCCGAGCCGAGCGGGCAAGAGCTTCATGGACCGAACAATGTGAGCGTTATAGCAGCAGTTCCATGGTCTAAGCATGGAATAGGAACTCCCAAGGAGCTACACGATCACCACTGGCTGACACTGAACCTGAAACATGTAAGGACACCACAGGTCCACAAGCATGCATCAAGTAACTCTACTGTCTTCTTAGAACAAATACCAACTCTAAAAACAGCCCAACATGGTATACGAATAAAAAAACACCGCCATGACATAATTATGACCCAAGCCAACACAAATAAAATTATAACGAAAAAACTGACTACAATAACCTGCTAGAGAAAAAAGAGTTAATTCCATTCCCACGAGTGAAAAACAGTGCAACGAAGCGCGCGTTAGTCTTTATTGGGATTTAAAGTTGGGTGGGCTGGTCTACCATAATAAATCCATATATATTGGGATATATTTTATATAAATCAAAAAAAGTTATTGTACATGTGTAGCCACGTGCAAACACACGATATGATACCATCCAATTTGACACCCAACTAAACTCGGTCCAGACCCCTCTTATCACGAGTCAACATCAATGGCATACAATTCTGATCTAAGATGGATAGACAGATTGTGCAGGTCAGTGGCCAACAACACACGAAGGCACAATAGCCCCATAACACAAACATGAGGTCGAGCTGAGCAGATAGGTAGGTATAGGGCGGTATTCAGGATTAAGGACAGTCATTTACTTGCATTTTCTCATCTAGCTACAAAACATACATATGTATCCAAGTATTATATAACATCAGACCATCAGTCATGGGTACTAGTTCACTAGTGTAGTAGGAAAGACTAGAAAAAAGTCCGTATCATCACAGGGTTTAACACTCATATAATGACAAGTAATGCAGTGGGAAAGACTATTGCACATGCACATAAGTTTATAATTTTCGTGAGATCATGCATATAAATTTGTAATTTATAGTAAATCACCCCTTCTACATTGTGAAGCTCATCCAGGACAGGGAAGACTATGGATCCCCGCAGGGACTAGGCACCTGAGCGCTGTCATGTTGAGAGGGTAATCCTATTTTTTGACGGCGTTATACTTGTATGATGGGCTATGTTGTGGAGCCGATGTAATGGACTATAAACTCTTTCTTTCTTAATTAATTAGTGAGACAAATCTTTGTCTCGGTTAAAAAAAATACAGTTGCAGATAGACATACATCCACTAACAATACTTTGTCTTGTAAGTATATGTAAAGATATACTCCCTCCGTTCCTAAATGTAAGTTTTTGTAGAGATTTCTAGGGACGGAGCTTTAGGGCTAAACAGGGCCATGGCCCGCCCAGGAATTTCACCAAATTCTTTTACCTATGTGCTGTTCCTAGTTCCTAGCCCAGCCTACGCAACACACAGCAGGCCCATCCCCTCTCGTCTCATACTCGCACCGTACACAGACGCACAACGTCTCCAATTCCCCATCCTCTCATATCTCTGTATGTGCTTATGATTCAGAATCTGCCGACTCCATCTTGTAAGATTCAGAATTAGAAGAAAAAACACCCTTTGGCCCGTCCAAAATTTTCTTTCAAGCTCCGCCACTGGAGATTTCACTATGGATCACATACAGATATATGTAGATACATTTTAGAAACAGATGCATTCATTTTGCTCCGTATGTAGTCTATAATGAAATCTCTACATAGACTTATATTTAGGAACGAAGTGAGTAGTTACAAACAATCCACGTGGAATAATGAAGGGCCAACTTTTTTGCATGTCCTTTCCCTCCCAAATCGTACTTTCCACGGGAAACAATGAAGGACCAGGACTTTTGCAATTTGGATTTGTGCACTTGTTTCTTGTTTGATGTCCAGTGTCCACGGACCAGCGCGTCCTAGCTGCTATGGGATCCCTGTCTAGCGCGACGGACCAGGGCGTCCTAGACATTTGTTTCGTTTTCCCTTGGGGCTTCAATCGGATTTGGACTCCCTACCAACTCCACCGAGCTAAATTGACACTCTTGTCTTTATACATACGTCGTTTTTTTTTGCGGGGAATATACATACGTCGTTGACAGTATCGTACGAGCTTATATCGCAGGTCTCCCTATCTATCTAGGTAGAATTTAACAGAAAAAACTACCACAATTCGGGCAAAGTGACCCTCATAACTACTCCTACCACGCTACAAGCTCGAAGCACGTCTGGAAAGTTAAGGTACTTTTGCGTATCAAAGTGTTTATGTGATTTGTGCATAAACAAGTGATTTTGACAAAAGATAACCTGGCAAAACGTAATTGGGTGGGTTCTGCTAGGTGTAGCTTTTGTGATTGTAACGAAACTATAAGGCACCTCTTTTTAGATTGTCCGCTGGCTAAGATTCTTTGGCGTTCGATTCATATTGCTTTTAATATTACTCCACCTACATCTATCAATATGTTATTTGGAACTTGGCTTGATGGGGTTAACTTGAATATAGCAAGACACATTTGTGTGGGAGCGTGTGCCTTGTTATGGGCAATATGGAATTGCAGAAATGATTTGGTTTTTAACAGAAAAACGAACTTTCACTTTTTGCAGGTTATCTTCAGGGCCACAGCATTGATCCGTATGTGGTCGTTACTCACTCCGACGGAGGCCAGGGGGCGTTTGGCTACTGCGTCTACCCGATGGGAGATGGTAGCTCGGGGTATTTTCAACCGGTTTGGATGGCGGTCATGTTATAAGATAGGCATGTAGTGCTCCTATTTTATTTGCCAGCCGGTTGTGGATTTTTTTGATTTGGCTCACTGGAGCAGCTTGTTTTTTTTTTTGTACCTTCAGATATTGTGGCTACTTTGGTTTTTATTATAGGCCGTATGCATCTTTCGGATGCAGAGGCCGGTGTAATACCCTTTTTCTAAAAAAACAAAAAGTCCTATGAAACTACTACCATTTTTTGCATTTTTGTTTTTTGCTCAAAACTATCACTTTTGATAAGGTACCGATTCAGGCATTTTAAGCCGGATTATGACAGCCCAGGGGTGGCCCATCTGTCAAATCTGACACGGCATTGAGTAGTTTGACCGTCAAGTTGTATGTGGGCCCCACCCATCAGAGTCAACCATTATCTCTATGACATTTTAATAAATTTGTGGGCACCCCAGTACATGTGGTCACGGGGAGTGGCAGTGTAAGCTTGACGGAGGGAGGAGCTGACGGCCACTACAGCCGGCCGCAAGGAGGCCGCCGCCGGGATTCAAAGGCCCACCTGACTGTCTTCACCAAGATGAAAGACGCCGACAGGCATGGATCACAGACGGTGCCTTCAAACACTTTGTGCTTCGGCTCCAGTGGCAGCTGCAGAACGGACGCATCCACGTGGTCGTTCTTCCCTCACCGTTGAAGTTGCATCCGCTATGGCAACCGTAACTACTGGAGGTGACGGACACGGAACGACGTGCTCCCCGCAGACCCGTCGTCCCGTCTGGAGCCCGACTCAATTGGCTCGATGCTAAGGGACATCTGTGACCTCATCCGCACTAGCAGAGCCCTCGCCACTTCACACACTTCCCGTGTCCAGCAACAAGTGGTTGGCATCAACGTGGTGTCGTTCATTTCCTCTCGGAGAGGGGCTCATTAGCTACATCAATATGGAACCGTTCATGTGGGCCACCTCCCCGGTAGCTGCTAAGCCGGAGATGGTGGTCGTGGACTGGCTTGGCAAGGCTCTGCACTTGCCGGAGAGCCTCTTTTTCGTCGATGGCGGCAGGGGCACTCTTTTGGGCACCTCGTGCGAGGCATCACCTCGAGGAACATTGGGCATCGGGGCTGGATCGGGGCATCGAGGCTCAATTGAGGCTGGGTGACTAAACTAGTGGATTTTTTTATTAAGACAACCATGTGGGTCCCACATGTTATAACGCTCAACTTAACGGTCAACCAAACAAAGTTGACCTTGTGGCGCCACGTGGAACTGACCGGTGGGCAAATGTTGTCACATCGGGTTTAATTTTAGCCCAATTAGTAATTA